GAGAGAGAGAGAGAGAGAGAGAGAGAGAGAGAGAGAGAGAGAGAGAGCGCGCCTGGGCCTGGCTTAAGCATTTGAATCCCCCAAACCCACCCCAGTGACACACTTCCTCCAACAAGGCAGCACCTCCTAATCCTTGTCAAATAGCCCCACTCTCTTAATGACAAAGCTTTCAAATCTATGAGCCTGTGGGGACCATTCCTATCCAAATCACCACACAGTTGGAGAATGGAGAATGTAGATTAGAGTGTAGCAGAAAAGAGATATGGTGGGGGTGGGGGTGGGGGAGAGAGAAAGAGAGAGGAGAGTTCGCAGACTATCTTAGTCAGTCTCAAATATAATATTAAATAAAATTAACCGTGAGTTGAAAAGGCTTGTCCAATGTGCAAGATTGGCTACTTTAGAAAAATGAGTGCTTGGCTCTTTTTTTTGTTTGTTTGTTTTTGTTTTTGTTTTTTTCGAGACAGAGTTTCTCTGTATAGCCCGGGCTGTCCTGGAACTCACTCTGTAGACCGGGCTAGACTTGAACTCAGAAATCTGCCTGCCTCTGCCTCCCAAGTGCTGGGATTAAAGGCGTGCGCCACCACCGTCCGGCTGTGCTTGGTGCTTCTAAAGGCCAGAATCCCTGTATCTGTAATAATTGCTTTGACATATATTATTGCATGAATAGTTGAAATGTAACTGGTATCCCCTGACTGGGATCATTCAGCAATGAGGCATCATTAGGAAGAGAACTATGAGAGAGAATGGCTGTAAGGCAAAGTGGAGAAACAAAGTAGACAAAGTGGCTATCCCATAATAACCACACTTCCATTTAATGTATCTGCGGAAGAAGTAAAGTGATTTTTTTTCCTCTCTTAGAGAGGCAGTCTAATGCCAGGTCTGCAAAGAGTTTAATTATTAATTTAAACCATAGGATTTTTTGTTGTTGTTGGTGGTGGTTTCGTTTGTTTGTTTGTTGAGATAGAGTCTCAGTATGTTATTCTGGCTGGCCTGGAACTCACAGAAATCCGCCTGCCTCTGACTCCTAAATACTGGGATTAAAGGCATGCCCTGAAGGAGTCTGTGCTAGGGTGAGTTGTTAAATCCTGACTGGATATATTAGTCAAACAATTAACTTCAATTGTTGGGCCTTGGTGTTTTGCCTCAGGAGTGAGTCAGTGACCAAATGAGGGAATGGACCTTGGGGCTAGCTTTAGGAATGTAATCTACAGTTTAGCAAGGGAGAAGCAAACAGGGGTTGGGTAGGGGAGGACAAAACCTATCAGTGACCAGCCTGACAGGTTTTGAGAGAGCCCTTCACGCATCATCACAAATGGCTCAACTATAGTTTTTGATACCTAACCGACGTCTATAAAGGAATGGAAACGCCAAAAGAACATTAATTTTTTTTTATAATTGTCAAGAACTGCAGTAAAAAAAAATGAAGTTATCAAGATAAAGTATTTCAAAATCCATATATATGCATGCACACACACATACATGTAGGTTTTGGGGGGGGCGTTCTTTTACAGAAACGAAGTGACTCTCTCACCTCAAATACACAAATTAAGTGTTTGCGTTGAGTAGTTTACAATGACAACCCCAAAGTATTTCTGCTTCACGGAACTAAGAGCATTTGGAAACAAAGACAGTATCCTGAGGCGCCATAACAAGTCATTGGCCTATACCGAGCCTATGGACTACAATTCCCAGAAGGCCTTGCGGCCCAACTTGTGTCATCTGTGTGCGCCTCTTGGTCCAAGCCCTGAAAGCATGGCAGCTGCAGAGACAGAGGTGGTTTCACCTCTGATTGTAGACACAGCCCCAGATATTTCAGAATCAGCCGCGGCCTCCGTAGCAGCAGCGGTGACGGTGGCGGCCAGGACTGGATCGCAAGCTCCGGTCTCTAAGGCCGCCCTGGCTGCTAAGCTCATGTCGCTGAGCGGCGTGTTCGCTGTGCACAAGCCCAAAGGACCCACTTCAGCCGAGCTGCTGAACCGGCTGAAGGCAAAGCTGCTGGCAGGTACTGCCTCCGGGGTAGGGACCAGGCTGAGGCGTTCTCCGCCGCAGGGCCAGAACCCTGGGATTTTTATCTTTAGTCAGTCTTTCTTTCTTTCTTTCTTTCTTTCTTTCTTTCTTTCTTTCTTTTTTTCATACTGACTTAATGTGCACTCCATGGCTCAAGAGAAAAAAGAGTGACCATTGGATTAACTCTGGAGGGAAACCCGGGGCGTATTGGGCTTGGATTTACCCAAGTACAGACTCTTTCAACAGTGTCCATTTGAGATTCTTACGGGAAGTATGTGTAGAGTTGGGGGCCAGTCTGCATTCACAAGTTTCCACCCTGATGCCTGCAGCCCAGTTTTCTGTAGTTTGATCCCTCCTAGGGTTTTTGTTTGGCTCTTGCGAATGAGTCCCTCCTGAGGAAACGCTGACTCTGTACCCCTAAGTTGCAAACTTAAAAGTTTATTTGAAAAGCATGTAGGCTGAGTTAGCTAGGACTTAGAAAGAACACCATTTCCACCTTTTAGTGGGCATGGTAATTCATCTTCTATACAAATACAGGTTCCTGATCTTGCAGATGCTGAGATTCTGAGGATCTGGGATATATTTTGGAAATTCTGCTTTTTATTTTTATAGAGCATTTTTTTTTTTTTTTGCGGAACGTTAAAATAGAAGATGGCCATTTTTCTAAACATGCTTCCTGTTGATCATTTAAAAAAAATTCTTTTGTGTGTAGTGTGTGTATGTATTCCTGTGTGTGTGTGTGTGTGTGTGTGTGTGGTGTTGTTGACCATCTTCAGAGTCGGCTTTTCATCTTGTACATTGAGCTAGAGTAGCTCACTTGAACCTAGATCCTGCCAACTAGGCAAATCTGTCTATTCAACTTGTTCTAGGGAATAACTAGCTGGCTCCCTAGCCCTGGGGATCAGGTAGGCTTCAATGTCGCCCTCATGTTTATGTGGGTGCGGGAGATCCAAACTCTGGTCCTCACAATTGCTTTGTGAGCACTTTACCCTGTGAACAGTCTCCACAGAGCCTTTCTTTTACTTGATTCTCATGTTAAGCTGTATCTGTGCTATCCGATAGGGACCTAGGATGAACAGTGGTTGTCTCTTCTCTTAAAGAGGCTTACAGTCTTGATCTCTGCAGTTCTAGATTCTCCAGAGCTTCAGCTTAGCTTGTCTTGTTTCAGGTACAGAAAAGCTTTTTACACTACTCAGCGTCACCTGGAAGACTATATATATATATATATATATATATCAGTGATCCTCCTGCCTCAGCTCCTGAATGTGAGACTTACAGATGTGCACCTCCATCCTTACTTAAATTTGTCTTTTAGCTAGGAGCCAAACTATTCTGATAGTATAATTTGCTTATTTAAATGTTCGTTGACAAACGCATACATTCTTCTGGATGCTAAATGTTGGTGTTATACCTGCTCATTAAGTATGGTAGTTAACTTTGATTGTCACCTCAATATCATCTATAATTCCCTAGGTAGAGAATTTCAGTAAGGGATAAGGATTGTCTATATTGGGTTGGTTTGTGGGCACGTCTGTGAGGGATTGCTTTAATTAAGTTCACTGATACAGGAAGATGTAGCCTGCTGTGGGTGGCACCCTCCCCTAGTCAGGCGTTTGAACTGTGTGAGAGTGGAGAACATGAGCTGGACACATGCATGCAAGCCTTCATTCTCAGTCTGATCCTGACTGGATGACTAGAACAGCTCTCAAGCTCCACAGGGGTAGAGAGTAAGCTGGAATTATGAGTTAAAACAAACTCATGAGTTACCTTTGAGAAGGTATTTTATTACAGCATTAATGACACTAGAACATCGAGTTTTCTATATATGCTACTATCTGTCAGGACGTGTCATTTAGGGCATATTGAACTGAGGACTTGCATCAAAGGGCAGAAGTTTTGTTTTTTCCTTCACAGATATGTTATTTTTGTTTGGCCTACCTGGCTTTTTTTGGTCCAAAGACTATGGTTCTTAGAGAAGCTTTTCATAGGATTAAAACTCTGAAGTTTCTTGGCTGCACTTTGTTGGGACTGATTGTTTCAAGGCTGTCTCTAGGCTGGTTTGTGCAGAGCACTCACTAAGATGCTGAAGACTTCTTCTCCTACAGTGCCTGTGATTGGGCAATTCTGTATTCATATTAGCTAACATGTGCTTTCCCCAGTTCCTGTGATTGGGTGATTCCATATTCTCTATTAGCTAACCCAGGCTTCCCCAGTGCCTGTGATTGGGCAATTTTGTGTTCATATCAGCTAAGCGAGCTTCCTCAGTGTCGTACTAACCACCTGTCAGAATCTTCCTGCAAGATTCTTAAAGATAGCTATTCTGTCCTGTCCAGGTTTGACAGAACACTGGTTTACTCAGCCAGCAGGCACAGCCTCTTCTCAAACATTCCTTGCCTGTCCTTACATTGATTCTTTTTGTTGTAGAATCCCTTCTCTTCTGTGACTTTGAACCTTTCAAGGTCTGAAGCATACTGGGTTTTTACAGTTAGAGAGGACTTTAAATGGTCGTCCGTAAACAGTCTGAATATTCAGTTCAGAAGAGTGAACACAATTTGACAGTGTGAGTGAGTTAGAGATAAATTTGGGCTCAGACAAGATGATTGAATTTATGGGAACTTTATAGTAACACATATCAAGTTGAAAGTAAGGAGCTCCCCAATTTACTCTTGCAATTTCACTGACTGAAATCCATGATGAACTGCAAATGGAAGGTGAAGTATTTGAAATCCAGGCCTGACTTGGAGTAGAGGCCCATGGTTGCTGGAGTCATGTTCCTCCAAGTTTGGTGATGTCAAAGCCCAAATATACACCTGATCTGGAGGTTCTGAACGATCAGGGTGGCAGTCAGGCTATGAGGTTGAGCGACCCAGCATAGCCATCTGAATGTTTTCTTTAAAAGATTTACTTATTTTATGTATGTGAGTACACTGTTGCAGTCTTCAGACACACCAGAAGAGGGCATCAGATCTCATTACACATGGCTCTGAGTCACCATGTGGTTGCTGGGAATTTAACTCAGAACCTCTAAAAGAGCAGTCAGTGCTCTTAACCTCTGAGCCATCTCTCCAGCCCCCATCTGAACGTTTAATCTGGCTTCTCCTGTCTCTGCCCTGCCGTCTCTTCCTTGTGTGCTGTTTCCTGTCTGCTGGTGTCAGTAGTTATAAAGTAGTTTTGACAGGCTGAGGGTCAGGGTGTCGCCGTGACAGCTCTCATATAGCTCATCTATAATGGTGGGGAGGCGAGGTAAGCTGTGTTGGGATCCTCTTTTCCTTTTATTAAATGCTTCAGAAGTCAAGTGGCAGCTTACCAGCTCTGAGTTGACACTGAGCCTCTTGTTGAGATTAGCTTCTTTAACGAACTGAAAGTTTTGATCATGAGGACAACTAATCAGACTAGCTGAGAACTCGGTGTAGGTAGAAATAGCCCTGTATGAGACACGCTTCCAGTTAGTTGACACCAGGGAAGGACAGAGGAAATCATAGACATTTAGAGACCTTAGCTGAGGTCTTTTAAAACTAGCTGCATATGCCAAAGCTAACTTTTATTTTGTTACTTTCTAACTATTGAGATATTATTAGAATTCACCTGGTTAGCTTAAATATTAACTCAGGTTTTTGTTTTTCTTGGGGCTGGAAAGATAGCTCTACAGATAAGGACATTGGCTAATATTCCAGAGATACCAGATTTGATTCCCAGCGTCTACTTGGTGTCTCATTTCCATCTGTAACTCTAGTTCCCGGGGCTCTACTGACCTCTTCTGGCCTCCTTGGACACTGCATGCACAGGGTACACAGGTATACATGTAACCAGAATGTCCTCACACAGATGATAGATAGACAGACAGATCCACACACATATAGATGGGTGAATACATACATACATGCATACATACATACATACATACATACATAATTGTTTCTCTTAAAATGAGTTCTAATTTCTATTTTACTAATTTTGAAATATTGTTCTTTTGTAATTTTTAGGAAGTCAGTCTCTCTCTCTCTCTGTTTCTCCATGTGTGTGTAGGCCAGAGGTCAACCTCAGGAATCATTCCTCTGTCTGCATTATTTTTTGAGACAAGGTGTTTCACTGGCCTGGAACTCACCACGTAGATACCAGCAAGCCCCTGCCTCAGCTCAGGGATTATAAATTCATGTCACCACTCCCAACTTTTTCTGTAGTGTCGGTCCTGGGGTTTGAACTCAGTTCCTCATGCTTGAGTGGCAAGCAATTTACCAACTGAGCTATCTTCCTAGGCCTGGTTATACAGTTTTGCTTTGTTTTGAAATAGGGTCTCACCATATATCCTTGGCTATCCTGAGACTCACTATGTAGAACACCCTGGCCTCAAACTCACTGTTTAAAAGCATCTACCACCACACCGAGCCCACGGTACAATTTGAAATCTGGTCTTGCTAGTTATGTGGTCATAGCCTTACACTCATACCGAACTTTTTGTTTTGAATAGGTTATCTTGCCTCCCATGCTCTTCCTGACTTGTAATTACCTTTTTTTTTTTCGTCCCAATTACATCCGTAGAAGCTGGAATGCCTTCTCCAGAATGGAACAAGAGGCAAAAGCAGACACTGAAAGTTGGACACGGAGGGACGCTGGACAGTGCAGCACAAGGTGTTCTGGGTAAGAGATGCAAAGCAGGTTTAATGGCACTTTCCTTCAATACCAGAAATGCTAACTGAGCCCTGGTACCTCAGTGTTCATTGGAGTGTTCTAATTGTACTGTGGTTATAGTCCTTGAATGGTGCAGGGCACACAGCACCACAGCACAAGCACCACAGAGCACACAGTACCACAGCACAAGCACCACAGAGCATACAGCACCACAGCACGAGCACTACAGACCACACAGCACCATAGCACAAGCACCACAGAGCTCAGTACCACAGAGCATATAGCACATCAGACCACACAGTACCACAGCACACAGCACCACAGAGCACACAGCACCAAAGCACAAGCACCATAGAGCACACGGTACCACAGAGCATGTAGCACCTCAGACCACATAGTACCACAGCACACAGCACCACAGTGTACACAGCACTACAGAGCACACAATACCACAGAGCACACAGCATCACAGAGCATACAGGACTACAGAGCACACAGCACCACAGAACACACAGCACCACAGAACACACAGCACCACAGAACACACAGCACCACAGAACACACAGTACCACAGCACAAGCACCACAGAGCACACAGCACTACAGAGCACACAGCACCACAGAGC